AATAACCTTTGATGGCAATCGGTTAATGATGTGGGTGGCAGTTAAAATGCATTCACCCCAAAACCTCTTTGGTAAATTTGCTTCAAATCTAAGTGCTCGAGCAACTTTGAGTATGTGCCGGTGTTTCCGTTCGACAACTCCATTTTGTTGGGGTGTATGCGGGCAAGTGGCTTCAAGTAAAATCCCTCGTTCATTATAAAAATCGGTCATGTTGTTAGATGTGAACTCCCCCCATTGTCACATCTAACTTTCTTGACATGTCTTTCAAATTGAGTCTTTACCATATTGCAAAAAAACTTTAACCACTTGCTAGCTTCATGTTTGTGTTTTGGGAGGAATAACCATGTGGCTCTACTATAATCGTCTACAATAGTCAAAAAATAGTTTGCCCCCGAGAAGGATGGGGTACGATACTTTCCCCAAATGTCGCAATGTATCAAATCGAAGCAAGCATTTGTCTTTATGAAACTATTTGAAAAAGGTAGCCTAGTATGTTTGGCCTTGGAACAAGAGTCACACAATTTGTCTAAAGTAATATTTTATTGCAACAAGCTTATCTTCAGATGCATGTCCGAACCTTTTATGCCAAGTATTCCTGGTAGTCATCATAGCTCTTCTTTCGCCATTGAACAACCCCATTCGGTATAGACCTTTTCTTCATTTACCCGCACCAATCAAGCTCCTCGTGTGGAGCTTCTGCATAACACAAAATTCCAGAAAAAACGTTATGGAGCATTAAAGATTGTTGGTTAATCGACTCACCGATAAAAGGTTGCAATTAAATTCAGGGATATAAAGAACTCCCTTTAATTTAGCCCCCCCTTCTAGGGTACATTCCCCTTTTCCCTTCACATGTATGGCATTGCCATTAGGGATAACAACAGGTTCCTCATTTGAGCAAACAATTTTATTATTAAGAATTGTTTCATCTTGAGTTATATGTTCTGTGGACCCTGAATCCACAACCCAATCGCTATCCCAACCCCTTTTACCTGCCATGTTAGCCATCCGAACACTACCGTCTTTGACATCGTTTTCAGCAAAATGTTTCAAGAAGGAATGATACTGCTCCTTTGTGAGACGTGGAACGGGGCTAGCTTCAGTCTCAACATGAGCAGCTTTCGGTTTCACTTTACCCGGCCACCAATCCGGATAACTGATTATCTTGAAACAACCATCTCGTTTGTGTCCACTTCTTCCACATTCAGTGCACTGTTCGTCCGTGTCTCCACGTTTCTGATACTTTGGTGCGGCTTTATTTTAACTCGCATTGTTCTCACGTCGGACCGGTTTGAAAGCCTTGAACGCAGCGCTTTCGGGGGCGTTTTCTTCTCACCCGATATCATCCTTTGTCTTTCAGCTTCGGCAATTAGGTGATAGGCAATTCCTAGTGTTGGTATGGGATTCATGGCAAGGATTTGGGTTTTGATTACTGCAAAGTCGGCGTCCAAACCCATCATAAATTCGTATTGTTTCTCCTTTTCCCGCAGTTCGTTCATCTTTTTACCGACTCCACATGAACATTTGTCACAGTTGCAATGAGGGGCTGGTAGCATAGATTCAATCTCGTCCCAGAGGCCATGCAACTTTATGTAGTAGGCTGAAACTGAGACCGAGACCCCACTTTGGTGTGTGTTGGAGAATGTTTGCTTCAACTCGTAAGCGCGAGGGGAGCTTTCCTTCCCGAACCTTTCGCGTAAATCTGACCAGATTTCAGAGGCGGTGTTGGTGTATTTTACGCTACCCCTGATGTCCTCCATAGCCGTCGTGAGCCAACCTTTTACCATAGTGTCACAAGGCATCCACGCCATGTAATCGGTGGCTGTTTTTTCGGGTTTCTTCAACGTACCATCAAGGAATCCGACCTTGTTCTTGGCAAAGATAAAATTTAATATCTCTTGGGACCAATCGGTGTAGTTATTGTTGGTGAGGGTGTCGTTGACATGCATTTGCTTCGGGTAATCCGTAGCATGAATGTAGAAAGGAGAATGATATCCGGCGAGCCTTCCTTCTTCGTGCCTCCATCGTTGCCTATCATGGTGGCGATCACTAACCTTGTGTCTTACTGTTTTGAACCGCTCTGATACCATCTTAAGAATGATGGTGAGAGATATTCATTTGTTTCATTTATTTTTTCTATCAATACATCGAACATAGCCATCGAATAAAAACAAAGATCGAAACTACAAATATGGAAACACAATAAGAAGAATAAGTAAATTACGGAGAACCAATAAGGCAATGATTGGGCATGATCAATGGAGGCAATAATGATTGAAAATAGGAGATTCTATAAACCAATCACCCAAAAACTTTCATGTGATCATATTCCGGTTTATGACCATGAAGGATTTCGTATGGGTTCTTTATTCCAATGACTTTCGGGGGCAATCTATTAATGATATATGTAGCCGTTAAGATGCATTCTCCCTGAAATCTCGTTGGGAGATAAACCTCTATTTTTAAGGCTTGAGCAACTTCGAGTAAATGTTTGTGTTTTCGCTCCACAACTCCATTTTGTTGTGGAGTGTGAGGGCATGTTGTTTCTAAAAGAATGTCATGTTCAGTGTAGAAGTTCATCATCTGATTAGATGTAAACTCACCGCCATTATCACATCTGATTCTTTTAACATTTTTTCAAATTGAGTTTTGACCATTTTATGAAAGTCAATCAGACATGTGCTAGCTTCATGCTTGTGTTTGAGAAGGCCAAACAGCCCTGCTATGATCATCTACTATGGTCAGAAAATAATTTGTCCTTGAAAACGAGGGTGTACGGTACTTTCCCCATATATCACAATGCAACAAATCAAAACAGGCATTTGTTTTAGTGACACTAATAGGGAAAGGTTGACTCGTTAAGGGTTGGGTTCACGTGAGACCAGCCTGTTTTTGTGAGACCCTTGAGACCACATTTTTACACTTGAAACTTCACAGCAAAAACACTGTGAAGGTTAAAAAAAGTCGAACTTTCACAGCAAAAACACTGTGAAGGTTACCTTCACAGCATTTTGCTGTGAAGTTTCAAGTGTAAAAAGGTGGTCTCACGGGTCTCACGAAAACAAGCTGGTCTCACGTGATCCCAAGTCGTCTCGTTAATTTGGACTTAGCACAGGAATCACAAACATGACCTTTATTTCTAAAAGAAATTAATCTAAGGGAACTTATTTGATTCAACTTTTCTTGACTAGCATGCCCTAACCTCTTGTGCCATATGTTCCCCCTTGACATCATTGCCTTCCTCTCGCGACCAAGCATTCCCATCCGATATAGACCATTCACGCATTTACCCGCTCCAATCAAGTTCTTCGAAGTTAGGTCCTGCATGACAAAGAAATTCGGAAAAAAGCTTACGACACATTTAAAATCGTTTGGAAGTTTGCTAACGGACAAGAGGCTGCAATTGAATTCGGGAACATGTAGGACTCCTTTCACTTTAGTCCCATTCGGTAAGGTGTGATTTCCCCTTCCTTCAACGGGCACAACCTCTCCATTAGGTATAGTTACGGGTTCTTTAGCAAAAGAGGAGGTTTTGTCTCAAGAATGTCAGTTCTGTTGGTCATGTGCTCGGCTCCTGTATCAACAATCCAAGAATCATTAGGACTTATTTTACCTATCATGTTCGCTGTAGGTGGGGCGTCACCCTTTGTTTCACTTTCTTCAGGAGCAAAATGTTTGAGGAATTGCTGATATTGGTCCTTGGTCAGGCCTTCGATAGGGCTCGATTCAACTTCAGCACAGGCAGCTCTTGGCTTTGTCTTGTCTTATTTGTTCTCTCCTGGCCACCACTCCGGATAACCAATGCATTTGAATCACCCATCATGAGAATGATCATCTTTGTCGCAAGAGTTATAGTGTTCCATCTGTTTTGCGTTTTTCTTTACGTATTTGTTACCGGAATGTCGTTTCACAAAAGCCTGGAATGCCGCTGCTTCTGCAGTAGGCCTCTTGGTGTTGGTTATGGATCTCTGTTGCTCATCTTCTGCAACTAAGTGATAGGCATTTCCAAGAGATGGAGTTGGTTTCATTGCTAGTGTTTGTGTTCTCACAATTGAGAACTCCGTATCGATCCCCATGAGAAACTCATAGAGTTTTTCTTGTTCTCTAAGTCCATTGAGAGATTTTCCGAGTCCACAGGTGCATCCATTACAAGAGCACTGTGGAACGGGAATAACCGACTGGATCTGATCCCACAGCCCCCGAAGCTTCGTATAGTAGGCAGAAACGGTCATCCCGTCTTGCCTAGTGTTCGAGATCGCCTGCTTTAGTTCATATGCCCGTGGTGCACTTTCTTTTCCAAACCTCTCACAGAGATCAGACCACATCTCAATGGCGGTACATCTCAGTGGCGGTATTGGCATATTTAACGCTGGTTCGAATCTCCTTTTCCATTACATGGTTGTCGTCAACCATCCTTTGATCATAGCATAACACTGCATCCAGGCTATGTAATCTGTAGCATTCTTTTCCGGCTTCTTGATCGATCCATCAATAAAACCGATTTTGTTCTTAGCAAGCAAGAAATTTTCCATTTCCTGGACCCAATCGTTGTAGTTGCGGTCCGTCACGACATTGTTGACATGCATCTGTCGTGGATAGTCTGACGGATGGATGTAGAGAGGAGAGTTTACGTCTGGGCCATTCTTTTCATTCTTGTTTGTGTTGTCGTCTGCGCCTGCCATGGTGCCAATTTGTGTCTTCAGATTAGGTTTGAACGGAAGAGTAGTGTAGAACCCGCTCTGATACCATAAAGGATTTGATTCTTTATTGATTTTGTGTGTGCCAATTACAAAGCGGAAGCAGGAAATATATACAACATTAAAATCATAAGATCAAGGGGAGCAGAAGAAAACTCCGATATCAAAGGATCGGTTACAACAAATAGACACGGGATATTCATGGAAATGATTTGAAATTCTATATCTATAACCCACAACTATTTTTGTATAAATTTTTTTTTAATCTCCTTAATGCTGTCTGAAGTTACTGCTGTTGTTTAGATTGCACGTAAACTTGAAGCCATCAATAAGGTAAACCAGCCACTTAAATCTGACTTGCTGAACGGAAAATGGGAGCTTCTATACTCAACATCTCAATCAATCCTGCAAATGAAGGTGACATGTTGGCTTCTCATCTCTTTTTTGCTATGCAATGTCAAAATTATCAATGGTGGTTAGATTGGCATGTTGTTTGCAAAAAATTGCATGATTTTGTGCCTTTCGAGCTCCTTAAAACTGTAAATTTCTTTCAACTTGGCAAGTTTTCAAGCTAAATTTGTATATTGTCATCACTTGGAATTGTTGATGTTTTTGCTTTCATTACAAGTATTCTTTTGTTATCATTCAAGGGTATTTTTAGGCTATGTATGGCAAACTAGCCGATAAGCTAGCTTGTTGGCTGAAAAGTTAGTTGTTAGCTGAAAAGCTAGCTGTAAGCTCAAAAGCTAGCTGATCAACTTATCACCTTTGCAAAAACTAACTGATAAGCTAGATGAAAAAAGTAAAATGACCAAAAAGGGCATGTTAAATAATTAGTCAATTCTAACATTAATACATTATATATAATACAATTCGACTTTTAGGCGGTAGTTAAGTACTTTTCTTGACTATTTATCCAAAGCAGTGAATTCCTTTAACTTGTCAAGTTTCTTACTTCTAAGCTAAAATTACCAGCTTGTGCTAACTTTTTGACTGGTAAAACCATGATTTCCTTTTAATTTGGAAAGTTTCAAGCCAAAATTACCTGTTTGTGCATCATCATCATTGCTATTGCTATTGTTGATGGCTTGATGCTCTTGTTTTTGTTCTACAAGATTTCCCTTTTCCATTATCACAAGGGTATTTTGGATTTTGACTAGTGGTAGAATGCTTATTTCAACTACTCAACCAAAACTGTGAAGTCCATTTAACTTGGCAAGTTTTGAAGTTGAAACTACATATTTAAGCATTATCATCGCTGTGAATAGCTTTATTGCTTTTCTTCTACAAGATTTCCCGTTTTAGTCATCATTGAAGGATATGTTAGACTTTCAACTAGTATCCGTCTATATTTTGGATTAGTCACCCCAAACTGTGAATTCTCTTTTAACATGGCAAGTTATCAAGCTAAATTACCTATTTATGCATCGGTCATCATAATGAATTGTTGATGTTGTTGCATTTGTTCCAGATTACCACTTCATTGAAGGGTATTTAGCCTTTTGGTTTGTAGTCAATAAGTTTTACCAATTGTGGGACGAATTGACTAATAATTTATTTTATTTATCTATTTTTTGCAGAGGCCTAAATTCTTACGAGCAAATGGAAATATTTATCAGGCAATCAATGTGGACACTCTTAGAGCACAAAATATGGAAACTTGGCCGTTCTTTAACCAGGTGTTTCTCTTGATTTAGAAATGCATGCATATGTGTCTACTTCTATGCAATGTTTAACTGAACACCCAGATCAAATAGAAGAGTTTGAATATGGTCATTTGTTGTGAATGCTCTTTAGCTGTAGTTTTGACCATACTATTTACTTGCTTTTCAGAACAAATTAATATCGAGACCCAATCTAACATTTTCATTTTGTTGGTTTTCTTTATATGGTGTGAGAAGAAGCAAAGATGTGAATGCGAGTCCCATTTACCTGATGCAAATGACCTTCAATGTTAAAGACAGTTTATTTTATTTGTGGTTATAATGTTGTTTTCAGAGGGTTGTTAAATGTCTCTCGATACATAAACGCGCACAAATGCAACTATGATACCCTTGAGCAAGAGGGCTCAGCAGAGAATGTATGTTACCGGGGTAGTTCAAGTGGTCAGGCCTTGGGTTTGCTCCCCATTGGTCACCTGTTCAAGCCCCCTCAAGCCACTGAAGGTTTGTCTGACTGTTAAGTTCAGGTCCCCATGGGATCAGTCGAGGTGCACATAAGCTAGCCTGGACACCAACGGATATCCAAAACAAGCCTGGCCCTCTAGGTCTCAAGTTCATACTTTTGACTTTTTGATGTTTTGTGACACGTATATATTATGTTTCTGCAGGCTACTGCTAATCTAGTTCCTCTTAATGAGAAAAGGGTGGCGGTCAAGTTTGATGCTTTTAAAGTGCTTGGTCTGGTAGGCGAAACTTTGTTACTATTGTTAGAATCAATTTGTTTTGATCCTTTATCGTTTTCATATTGTGGGTCTGGAAGAAATGATGTTATGAGTGTGGATCATGTTTACTTGATGTGAAAAAAAGAAGATACGGCCGATAAAGTAGAAAATGGAGGAAAGTTGTATAAATAAACAAAATTTCTGAGTCATTGACTTGTTAGTTGTTGTTGTTGTTGTTAACAGACTATTTCTATTGATTTGCAGATACCTATAAGAGCTCGTGGAAGTGGTCGTGGTCAACTGGAGATAACATACTTGGATGATGAGTTAAGGTACGCACATAAATTTTTGTCGCGCCACATTTATGTCGTATTCAAGCTACATAATGCCAACCAAACAGACAGTTTTTAATTCCTCTACTAGATTTCATTCCAATTCGTGCCAACCAAACGTGTGCTCAAACATGGTTATCCTTCATAGTCCAATTCCTTTTAACATATTCTAATTCTGATAGATTTCATTCAGCGAACCAAACCCCACGTTAGTGGTTTCTTAGGAAAAGAAACAACGTAGTTGTTGATTCACTCGAATTTCTTGCTTCCTTATTGATACAATTTGATATTAGCCGAAACATTTTTCTTATCCCATGTGCAAACCGCATACCAAACACAACCACTTCATCTTGAAAACTTGAGTTTCTTTGCAAACCGATCATTGCCTCTTACAGATAGTCAAACTAATCTTGTTATCTTACAGGAATGACCAATTTTAGACAAATTGTATAAATCTAAATGCAAAAAAACTCATCATGGACAGCATTTTTAGTCCAAAATCACGCATTCTTGTATAATATAGTGTTTTTTTGGGCATTTTCACAAGAACAATAGTGTATTTGTTAAGGCAAAGTCAAGTATGTTAAATAGTCAAACTCTCTCGTTCGATATGCTATATGTATGCTAGCAACCATTCCGAAGACCCCGACCTAATCATTTTTGCACCAAGACTTCTTAGATTTGCAGTAGTTGGAGATCCCACCTCCGGGTGGGATATAATGGGCTCGTTTGAAAAAGAAGTCTTTGTACGTAACTTTTTCTTAACGTCTTTACATAAAGATTGCTTCGGTGACCTGATCTTGTGTTTTCAGGATATCAAGAGGCAATGAAGGAAATTTGTTCATATTGAGAATGGTGGATCCAACATATAGAGTCCCTATTTAGTTTCTTCGCCTACAAGAGCTGCTGGCTTTTCGAATGGGAGTTTTCTTGCATCATCGTTTTGCTCGATTTTTAAGATCTGCATGCATTCTACCCTTCTACACCTTACGGATGGAATATACTGGTTTTGTATTCTTTTGTTGGTTAATGCCAAGATTTAGTACAGTTTGACCATATCTAGAAGGTCAAATATGTAATTTCACTTTGACCATGGAAGGTCAGATGTACAGTCAAGTTATTCTTTGTACATAGGACACAAAGGCATGCTTAAAATAGAGGCCTATCGTGATCTCGTAACTCGTATTTATCAGTGTTCTAAAAGGCCATCAAACGTCATGGCATGAGACACATCTTGACGTCACATTAACCCCCGTAAAGGCGGCGAGATGCACGCGATGGCGTCTTGAATCGCATTATGAGCTTTTCATACAACACTTGTTATAAATTCTTTATATATAAGATATCAAATATTCGATATTTCTTCTTCTCATATGAATTTAAATTGTTCAATATCATTGAGTAATAGTACAAAACATATATATGTATGTGTGTCGGGTGGTGGGAAAATTGATGGATCAACTCAAGAGTTGTTTAACTTAAACACGAAGTTGTATATCTTCCAAGAAAACCATCTCCGTGCCACCGTTTTATTATACGGGGACTCGATAAGAAGGATCGATCATCCTTAAGATGAACAAGTTTCCCTTATCGCCTCTCGAGACCCTGCAAAGCACGGTAAAAGAATCGAGTAACCACCGAAACCAAATTCAAGTTTAAAAAGATGACAAAATGTTGAAATTTCACCTCAATCCTTCATCCAAGTATGTTATTTCAAGTGAACCTCGAGCTGTATCCGGTGCTTTAACCGGTATCTTAACAAAACAAACGAGAACTTGTCTTACACTTTACGGGCATCAGATTTACCGATTTATCTTAAGAACAAACTGAAACAGTAAAAAAAAATCTTACCAATCCTGCAATCTTGAAGTAATCAAATTTCACTGCCACCTTTTTGGCGTTCAATGGCGTTAGGTCCGCAGTTACCTGTAGATGTATGACAACAACCAAAATAAGAAAATACAAAAGGGATTGCTAGTCTCGAACTTGTAGCCGGTCTTTCCAGGACCAGCTAGCAATCGAATCGATGCACTTAAAAGTGCTTATTACTGGTGTCACACCAAGATAAGTCAATAAGTTGTTTTTATAAGCAATCCCAAACACCCCCTGTCCATAAGAAGATACCTGATTGAAGGTCGGAAATGATTCCATATTTTGAGCTCTAAGTGTGTCGGCATTGATCGCTTGGTAGTTTACCCGCGACCGAAGGAGCTTGGGTCGCTGTCGAGAAGCATATATACATTGTGAGCAAGTGGTTGAGAAATGTGCATTGCAAGCATAAGCTAACCTTGGTTTGTAGAATCGACTGCGAAGTGGTGTATAAGAGCTCCCATTTTCCGTCTAGTAACGGCGACTTGAGCGGCTCCTTGGTCGGATTCGCTGCTTCAAGTTTTCGAACTATCTAAATTAAACAATTCAGGTCCAAGCTAAAAACGTAACACACACATAACGGAACTTTGACTGAAAAACGTGATGAAGGCTGACGTCACCTGTTCAATTGATTGTTGGTCCTCTGGAGAAGCTTCAGCACCACGATCGAGAGGAGCAATGGCGTCAAGAAGCTCTTGTTTGATGGATTCCACGTTTTTGGGCTTGTTCAAGAAACCTGTGAAGAAAGAAACGCTGGTCCTCCATTTGGAATTGTGTGAGATCAAGTGGTGGTTGGTGGTTGTTGTGGTGGTGGTGGTGGTGGTGGTGAGTTTGGCCGGAAAAGTTATGACGGAGTGGGAGTGGGAGTGGGAGTGGGAGAGTTTTGGGAGGTGGTGTGGAGTGGTGATGGCGGTTGAGGGAGTGGATAAGGCCATGGAAGAATTGGTGGTTGTTTGGGGTGGAGGTGTTTGATGGTTTTTATTGGTTTGCCTTTTGTCGGCCAATGCTTCTGATTGGGCCACGTAGTGGTTAGTTGGGGAATAATTCTTATTGTTTCAAATGCAACTTGTAACAATCTAATAGATATTTATAAAAATAATAAACATCTATTTATTATTTTTTAAATATTTATAAAAAATAATTAGAATTTATTAATTATGATCGATATTTTATATTATGAAATCATATATTCAATATATTTAATGGACTGATTGAGATTGTGTTGCAATGATTGTATAAATAAAATACATGGTATCTTATACTACCTTATAAACTAGATTTATCAAAAGTTTGAAAAATAATTTTTAATGCACAAAGTACTATACATTTATATACAAAGTCTTAAAAACAACTCATAATGCATTAAGTATKACTATTTTATGCATTCAGTCTTAAAATCTCTAAATCTATAATTAAAATAACATATAGTATAAGCTATCAATGCATATTATGACATTTTCTTTTCATGTTTCCAAGATACTTTTGACACCTTTCACTCATGCATTCACTCTCTCATACCTCTATTTCTTCTCCACATCCCCCAAGACAAACTGATATTCACTATGAGTTATTAAAAGTCTTCTCATCCAATTGCTCTAAAACTACCGGTCTCGCTTTGGATCTCTTGATTCTTTCTCCTGGTGTAAATCGAACACGTTTGTGGAGTCATTTAAATATGTTGGATTTTAAATATATTGGATTTTAAACTGTCATACAATTTTTTTCATCGATAGACTGCAGGTGGAACCATTACTCTTATTTATTCAAATTGCATTAATATGTAAAGACCAAGTGTAACTTATATCATCATTAAATCTTCTCTAATAAAACCTGTGAAACTTCAAAATCGTTAAAATTCACGGATTCCGTCGCATTGCACAAGTACACAACTAATAATTTATTATTTGTTGGTCGACTTTATCACTTTTACGTCCATGTTAATTTTTGTCCAGAAGTAGAAGTGAAAACACAAACCTTTTTTTTGTCCATGTTAAATATATGTTCGTAAATATATTTAAGAAAAGTATAACATCGACCGTTACTACAAGAAGTAACAGCAGAAACAATTAAAATTAAACAAACAAACATGAGGATTAAGAAAACACCAAACAAAATCACAAACAAGAGGAAAATGAACCAACAATAAAAGAGTTGTGTCTGTTTGGATTGAGTTTGAGTTTCAAAATTCAAAAGTGCCTCAAAAGTGCCTAGAGGTCTCAAGTTCTAATCCTATAAGGAATAAAAATACTCTTGTGGCCATGTAGGTTCAAATGTGGGGACTCCATGCTACCCGCAAAACAGATGGTCACTTTAAGATTAGTCGGCTTGCATAGCAGGTTGGATATCCAGATTAATAAAAAAAAATTGGACAATTTGTCAAAAAAAAAAAGTTAACATTCTTTTGATATTTTATTAGTTAATGATCTATTTAAATTTATTACAAATTTTGATGACCTTTCCGTGCATTAAACAGATAGCAACGTATTATTAATCAACTGTTGATGATTTTAGTAAAATCATCAGTGAATTTTATATAATTAGAAAGAAAATATGAAGTTACTAGTTAAGCTATATCATAGAGAGAGGAGATGTAGTATGCATACTCGTATACGTTAATTAAAACCCGGGATTGCTTAATGACGCCATATGACGGAGTCAAGACACCCCCTTGTGGGGTTCTTGAGCAACACCTCTAGTGAGGTTCAAGGGGTAGCATCCCGAAACCTCTATAGATTTCATGAAGAAAAGTACTTTTAATAATGAGCTTCTGAATGTCGTAATAGGTGGCTGGGGGCCGTATGAGTATAAAAAGAATCTGAAACCGAATAACCCACTCAAACGAGAACGTTTTCTGGTATTTCAGTTTGCAGGTTAATGGTTCGATTAACCAAACAAGATAAGTGAATTTATTTATTTTTAGACTAAATGAACAAGAAATTGATTATATATTTAACAAAATCACCAACATTATCATTGTAGCATGAGAGCATCCGCAGTCATGAAACGGGTTTATGACTTTATTGTGATAATCGGATTTTCGGTTATAAAAGTTCGGGGTGATTTCTGAAAGGTAATGGTAAATGGAGGGATTGAAATTGATTTTATGCTTAATTGTTTAAAATAGTCTCACCGCCTCTTATGGTTTATGATTGTTTATGTGAGATAATTGTTTTATCTCATGGGAGAATGTGAGATAATTATGGTTTCAATAATATTAAACTTTCATCGCCTGTTTGGTTCAATATAAAAGGTAATGGATAAGAGTTATCTTATCACATTGTTTTAGAGAGAGAGAGAGACTTTACTGTGTGTTCTCGTGTGTGATTCTTACGTGAAACTGTAAGAAGAAGAAGTTGATTCTATGTTTATAGTTGGAAGTTGTTGCTGTGTGAATTCATCTTCTTATACGTGAAAATAAGGTGAGTTTGTGTTATCAATTTTCTTTATTTGGTATTTGAAACATTGAACCATATGGTTCTTATGTAGGAAGATGATAAAACAATTTCTTGAAGCTGTTTGAGCTTGATGGTAAATCTAGTATAAAACTGTAAGGTTCTTTATACGAGTTTTCGTTTTGAAACGGTTTTGATTGCCAATTTTGGTAAAAAAGGTGGTTTTGATCATGATTATATCATAATGCGTTGTAATAAAAGTGGCATATCAAGGAGTTGCGTACATTGGTAATAAGGGTGGCTAATCAGGAGTTGCGTATATTTGTAACAAGGGTGACATAATCAGGAGTTGCGTACATTGGTAATAAAGGTGACATAATCTATTTTTGAAAATGATGATCTTTTGATCATGTGTTTTGTTATCACATTCTTATGAGGTGATGATCTTAAGTTATCGTATATGTGTGATACGAGGACTTGGGTTGTCGCATCTTATTGATGTGATAAAAAGAAGTGTTTGAGGACCAGAGGGGCTCTGGTTGGTCTTCATGTTAAACCAGAGAGCCGCTGGTTGTATTCGGGTTCTTTTCCTAATGTTTTAATTTATCTTGAGGCTCTACATGTGTTATGCAAAGGCTTTGTATTTAGAAGTTGAGCTATATGTCCGAGTTCTGTGTTTGAACTCTGTATCCAGGCTCTTAGTACCAGGGACTTTTAATGATTAAATCTTTTTTTATTAAACCATTTTCAAACTTCGTTTTTATACTAACACTTAAGAACCCAGAACATAGTTCAACCAAAAGGGCTATGGTCGTTTAGAGAGCCTCTGGTTGGCTTGGCCTCTAGATGGATTACTTCTATTGTTCTTAAGTCTTTGGAAAAATGTACAAACCTTTGGTAGAAGACTAGAGAGGTGTTGGTTGATCTTCATGATTAAATCAGAAGGCCTCTGGTTGCATTTAAAATCCATTTTCTTTCAAGTATCTCATTTTTAGTTTCCAAAAGCTCTAGTTAGGCAAACCAGAGGCTCTGGTGTCCAGAGGGCCTTTCGTTAGCCATGACTCGTGTTAAAATTTGATTCGAGTTAGCTATGTTTCTAAGAGGGTTTGTCTGAAACTTCTGATTGATGAACCAGAGGGGCTCTAGACATCCGAGAGCCTCTGGTTGGTCATATGTTTTGGTTCGCCTCACCTTTTTATAAAGTCTTGCTTCTGGTTAGCCTTTAGTGGCCTTGTTTAAGTTTGACTTTGCTCTGGTTGGTAGACTGGAGGAGCTCTTGGTGGTCTCGCACAATGTGATGCGAGGAAGTTTTATGAATTCCTATTTGAATGCAATACTTGAGTTACGTTTTGTTGAAATGTGGTATATATTTGTTTTAATTACAAATATGAATTTATGTCATGTTTTGGTGATTTTCACCCTGTAACTGCAAAAAGAGAAATTATCACTAGACCTCAAGGTCTAACCTTCATTTTGTGTTTCAAACATGTGTATTACAGGTCGAACACTATCAAGGGATAAGGGAAAGAGGGAAAATGTGAGATTCCCTATATGTTTACATGGAATATGGAGAAGTATCTGTTATCTATTGATTTTGGAATACTTGTTATATATGCAAGTTATATACAAGAATGTTATGGAAAAAAATTTGTTAGTTACTTTTATAATGTAACTTCTTGTACTTTTGGGATCGAAATGAAATACATGATTATATGTAAATGTGGATTTTGTGGTGTTACATTTATCATACTAGTTTTCTCTATCCTACACATTTTATAAATCTTTCACACTCAATTATATCCATTGTTATACAAATAATAAATTACATAATAATAATATTTAAAAATTACTTTTTTATAATTTAAAAGTATAATAATAAAAAGTTATAATAAACTAAGAATTACGAAAATAAATGCTACGTTTACAAAAAAAAATCATAAAAATTATGATAAATAAAATTTATAATAACTAAAGTCACAACAGTATTTTTTTAATTATAATATAATATTTTTTTGTTATTAATAAAATTACCATTTTTAAGATATATGGTATAAATAATAGTCAAAATATACCATAAAGAGTAAATACCATACTAACAAATATATTATTATCAAAGAGTCTTTCGTCTAGCGGTATGTGAGTTTTTGACCTCCTAAGAATCGGTTCCACAGATGAACCTTTTTTTCCTACACATGTATAGGACCAGTACCCCCACAACGCCTCACAAATATTTGTACTGTTATGGATGCTCTGATTGAAAAAACTAGCGATAACAATATACAGGTAGAACAACCGTTAAGTAAGGAAGTGGGGGTTTTGTCAAAACAAACTGCAATCACTCGAGGAATTGTCGAAAATGACTTTGGAAATTAAGGACATAAGGGTAAAAGAAATTATCTAAGGGGCCGTTTACTAAAATTTTACCTGGTAAGTGCTTACTGTACAATTTTTCTCACCGGATGAACATGTCAAGGGCCAAAAATCTTACCCGGTAAGAGCAATGATAAGGATGGAGAGTCTTACCCGGTAAGTGAGAGTGAGGACTCTTATCCAGGTAAGCGCTTACCGGGTAATTGTTGCATAGGATACCGTTTTGATGTACTACAATGTTATCCGATAAAATAAATTATAGTGTTGACTCCAACTGGTAAGTGCTTACCGGACAAGCATTTAGGTAAACAGCCACTAAAATTATTAAAAAAAATTGACATTTGAGTGGGAGCCTTTCCCCCACCTTTTTCAATGTAAGTTTCATCAATGACCGTGAAGGTTTTTTACCTTCCCGATATTTTAGTATGAAAGTTCAATGTTATTTTTGTAGTCTAACGGTCAATGACCTGCACGAACCGACTAATCTCAGGGCGACCACCTGCTTTGCAGATAGCCCAGAGTCACCGCATTTGAACCTATGTGGCCACAAGGTGTTTTTTATTCCTCCTTGGATTTGAACTTAGGACCTCATGATACTTTTGACCTTTGGAGTCAAGCTCAAATCAATCAGACACCACCCTTATAGTTAATTATTTGTAATTTTGAGTTGTCCGGAAAAATGTTGTATGTTTGGAGTAAGTTTGGAAGCCATTTTTATGTTTCTATTAAAAGATATTTTAAATAAATAATTAATTAAAATTATGTATTTTTAATGTATCATACATAAAATTAAATATTATATTTTTAAAACATCTTTAACAGGTTCTCCAATACAATTAAATATATTATTTTTAATATTAAATAATAATTTTTTCTCAAACACTCTTCGTTAGTAAAAATGACACTCAAGAATCTACGATTGTTTATGAGACAGAAATAATATTTTACTAAATGACCGTTTACCAAATGCTTACTCGGGTAAGCGCTTACCAAGTCACATTCTCTTACTGGATGAATATGGCAAGAACCAAGAATCTGACCTGGTAAGAGCGAAGGCACGGACCGAGAGTCTTCCCCAATAAGTGATGGCGACGACTCTTACCACGGTTAGCGCTTACCGGACAGATCGACCTCTTAAAAGAAGAGTCTAGTGTCAGGAGGAAGACATGGGTATACAAAAATGGTGGAAGCAAGGTATAATGTGATCAAGAAGTATTCCATCACTCCTTAACACTCTTTCTTCCTACTTCCATTTGCAATATAAAAACACACACTCCACTCAATCAACCAACCAAAGGGTACCACCCATCATGCATTCTTTCATTCAAATTATGCTCCTAACTTTTGTTGCATCAGGGGTAAACTTGTCAAATTCCATGAACTTCACCATCGTCAATAACTGCCATGAAACCATATGGCCTGGTATAACATCCACCAATACCACCCTCTCTGGTGGCGGTTTCACCCTCAAACCAGGTGAAACCGCCACCTACTCCCCCCCACAAGGATGGGGCGGCCGTATATGGGGTCGAACCGGATGCAGTTTCGACAAAAACGGCAATGGCACGTGCCAGACGGGAGCATGCGGTTCGACACTGACCTGCACGACCCCAGGGACCCCGCCTGCCTCGATTGCCGAATTTACTTTTGGTGACATCACTTTTTATGACGTTAGCCTTGTAGATGGCTTCAACCTGCCACTCACAGTTACACCTATTGAAGGCAAAGGAGACTGCAGCGTCGCTGGCTGTGGCACTGATCTCAGGGCTAACTGCCCATCGGAGCTAGCTTTCCGGTCGTCCGGAAAAATCGTCGCCTGCCGGAGCGCCTGCAATGTTTTCGACTCCGACCAGTACTGTTGTAAGGGAGTTTACGATAATCCCGTCACATGTATGCCGACAAATTACTCAAGAGTCTTCAAAACGGCATGCCCTTTGGCATATAGCTATGCTTACGATGATCCCACGAGCATCATAACATGTTCCACCACAGATTTTGTGGTATCATTTTGTTCACCAAGGTATGCAAACACGAGAAATTCGATAAGAACCCTTTATCGACTTCGATTTTGACGGTATTTTTTAACCAAATGCAGGAATGAGACGCAACAGTGCTCGTATCACGACAACAGACGTGTGTGTAACGGGTCAACAGAGTCAAAGCCGATAAGTTATCTATGGCTGGTTTTCGTACTCTTTTGGCCGATAGTGATTCAAATTTGAATTATATCCTGATGTCAACTGTACAATATCTATGAACAAATGTCTGTACAAAATATCGAGAAAAAAGTTTAAACACGATAAAGGATTACAACGTACTACTGCTTGTTCCGAGTTCTTTCTAATTTTGGCAAGTCTTCTTTTTCCTTCTTTTTGGCATCGGTGGTGTTAGAGTCAAAGGGCAACACGGAAACAGGGGCGGCAGGCACGGTGTCCCAACGGGATTTTAAGAAGCTTATGAACTTCACAACCATTTCTTTCCGGAGCTTAAGTTCTTGTGTGAAGAGATCGAGTATGAGAAGAGAAAGGACGTACTTGAAAGGTACGGTGAAGAGAACGACGGAACCAAACAAGAGCACCATAGCAACTTCCATTGTTATCTGCGAAAAGGTTTAGAAACGTTAACCGAGAAAAGACGGAATTTTGGCACGGTGTCACTGGGCAAAAACGTAATTTTAGCTTTAGGACTTCCCGAAAAAGGGTACATTGTACTCCTGTCCCAAAATAAGTGTCGATTTTCAAAAGTAGAAGCTACTTTCCAATTCTGGCCTTAATTCTAAGATGGAGAAATTCATTACTCCCTCTATTAGTTAGGGCAAAATTGTCATTTAGTTTATTGAAGTGTAATTATTACATATTCTTTAAACTGTGTATAGCTGACCTGTGGTTGGCCTGCAAGAAGAATTGTACGGATTTTTAGAAGCGTAACGTTGATATTTTGCATATACTTTTCCACATCTCGCATGGCTTCTTTTACGGCTATGATCTTCTCGATTGTGTTAGATGGTGGTTGATCACGTATGGTAACTTTGCCAAACGTTCTTCCGAGGCGGCCTTGCTCCTTGAGCCCCTTCAATACTAACATGCTCGTTGCCAAAACCGTCATCATCACAGGGAGTACATAAAACAACAATCTCCTGAAGCCCGATAAACATCAAACTTTGTAAACAAAACCGACTTAATTCATGAGGTAAGACTAGATAAGTAAACGGATGTTATGTGACACTAATATGCTCCATGTTACGTGAACCTTTCACTTGACAAATTACATAACAACGCTATGTAAGAAAACGGGGAAATCTTTAATGGATTTACCTGAAAATGAGTGCATATACAAATGCAAGAAAAGATGCCGTCAAGTGTGGTTCTTCCCAACGTCGAAGTTTTCCAAAGTTCTTGGCGATCACCGTCAAAGGAAGCACAAGCTCCTGAGGCAATCAAGATGATAAAGCAATATTAAAGTCGAGACATGAACTTTCTCCAAACAAATAACGACTAGTTTGTATTACATTGCGCTCCCTTTGACGCATGAAAAACGCCTATTTGAGCACATACATAGTTTGCGCGAGATGTTTGACTATTAGTCAAAACCAAATTAACCCAATATATCCCACTCGGAGGTCGGGTTTTGGGGGTGGGATTTACACAGACCTGACCTTTACTCCAAAGAGCGAAACAATTGTTTCCATAAAGATCCTCAGACATATGTCTTTATTACTCTTCAATAGTTACAAATGGCGGAGCCCACCAAATGAACATCATCGGTTTTTCAATAATGATGCCAATGAGCAAATAGGTAGTTCTAAATTACTCCCTCCGTCCGAAAATAAATGTCCACAATGAAAAAGGCACTCAGTTTTAGAAATGTGTAATCATTACACTTTTTAGTTAACCAAATTACAATTTTACCCTTAATAATAGATGGAGTAATGAATTTCTCCATCTCATAACTAAGGGTAGAATTGGAAAGTAGGCACTTACTTTTGAAAGTGTACACTTAGTTTCGGATAAACTAAAATAGAAATGTACTCACTTTTCTGGGACAGAGGGAGTAAAGAGATAGCTATAACGGGAAACATATTGCAAGAGGACAGGGTAGTAAGAAACAAAATGATAAATGTTGAGCTTGTTGAAACTTTTTGAGTAAAAGTTGCTACTAATTTCAAACCTTGAAAAGGTCGATATTACTGGGAATTCCTTCGATCATGGCAGCATCAATTGTGGCTTGCGTCTTCTCGACTTCCGTATATTTATCCCGACATGTAGTTGACGCCTTTTCGACCAATGTCTTATCGGCAACAACAAGATTTTTATTCAAAACAAGTGATTGTTTCACCGAATTATTCTTCCAAAAACTGAAGGAAGCACTAGAAGTCCATGAAGGGTGTCGCATCCACTTTTGTAAATACACACCCCCATCAATATCATATACATGATGGTCGTAAACTTCTGATACCTCGTTAGAAGACAACATTCCTTGGCCTGGTTTACAGTCGGACTCGATTTCCGCAAGTTTTGTAGTCAATGGCCCACCCCAACAATTTACGGCCATTGTTTGACAAACAATTTCGCCGTAGGGTGCACTTTGTAAATATGAAAATGGGACAAGTTTAGAAGGCTCATCCAAGAGTTTTCGACTGAACTGAAGAGCTTGGAGTCTCGCAATGCCGTTGATGGCATAAGCTGTGGCCCTTGCATTACCCTTTTGAGCACCATAAACATTTTTAACTGATTGATCGCCTTCTTTGGGCCCAAAATCCCGTATGAATTGATATAAAGATATGACTTCCTTAATGAAAGCATACCACACATCTCGCCTCATTTCGCCTCCAAAATCAACAAATTCAAGCACCCATGGCTTAGACCTGATAAGTTGGGTATGCATTTAAGTAGAAAACGAGATCAAGAATCAAGATTTTTGGCTGGTGAAAGAGATTGAGTTTTTGAAGCTTACTCACTCTGGACCAGAGGTAACGGAGATAGCAGAATCAAAAAGATCCGACCCAAATGGGCCAACCCTCGCTTTTTCTACCCGTGAACCAAGTTTTGTAAGATCCATTCTAATAACATCCTCTTGGCCCTTCAGTCCAATTGCCTGCAAGATTGCGTAAATGAACTACTAGATCTTATGGTAAATACTACAGGTGCGGCTTGACTTGTTTACTGGAGCGTTTCGATCATTTTCTGTCGTTTTAATTTCTTGTTTCAAGCCTGCCAACTCTTCTAGGTCCAAAAGGGAAACATAACACCTGGAGATCTTATTTGTATAGTTATAGAAACATAAAATAACTTTAGTCTTTTAGGGTGTCCAGATAAGGTCTTGATGTTTTGTTTTATCTAATTTTTGTCCAGATACGTCTTAATATACATTGATTAAACGGCAATTCGTCGATTCTCTCGAAGCTAATGCCATAAAAGCAAATTGTAGTTAACATGTGTCTTGGCATACTTATTTGAATCTGTAAAGAGACATGAAACATACCTCGTAGTAAAGGGCTTTTTCGGTTAGCGTTAGTTTTCCAGGCCATGCAATGTTATTCTCCCATTTAAGAACGGGTCTTTTTCTGCTAGATCCAAGGCATAAGATTCTCTCTGCAGAAATCTGAGGAGTTCCTTTTGAAAGGTATGATTTCCTTCCTTCATACACTCTCCATTGTTGAGAAAAAATTTGCCAAAAAAAATCCTCATCAGTAAAACATCAAGAAAAGGATTTATACAAAAAACTTAGTAATCATACAATCCAAATCCTTTTTGCCCATTAATAGCAATAAATATTGGTTCTCAAGATTCCTCTGTTATGCAAATGTTGATCGATATTTTATGTTAGAATATGTGGAATCTTTTTCAATCTCTTTCTAAAAGAGCTCTTATAGAGAGAGGAAAAGTTCCTACATATATACAGGTTTGATGGTCCGTGTCTACTGTCTAGCCGATGTGGGCCTCTAACACGCCCCCTCAAACAAAGGCTAGACGGTGCCCCCAAGAACGGAGGCAAAAGAGTGTATCGAGTCCGTAAGTGGTGCTAGACACCGACTCTGATATCATGTGAGGATATGTGGAAACCTTTTAATATCTTTCTAAAAGAGCCCTTGTAGAGAGAGGGAAAGTTACTAGGTTTGATATGCAACTGATAGTCCAAACACTTTAACCAAAGTGGATCTTAAAGTTTCCATCACTTTCGATAGCTAAACTAACAGAAATTCATGAGCGATAAAAGAAAATGTTAGCGAGAAGCTCACTTGACAAGTTCACTGATATATTTGGACCATACAGGGAACGAGATGCTTTTCTGACCAGCAGCAAGAGCCTTAAAAAGGTTATGCACTGTTGTCCAATCTGCTAGGCCGGAAATAGCAGGAGCTATGCGGACAAAAGCCTCTCTTCCTACAAGCTTCGTCTTCAGTATCAAAATAAAAGAACTTCATTAAGTTTTAATTCGTAACACCCTCCTTTCGATGCATAGAATGTTGAAACATGAAAAGAAGCATCAATTCCTCACTCGTAAAAAGCTTCCACACATAAACTACCTAAGCAGTGACTACAAAAGAATCTGATTGAAAAAAAAAAGTTACTTTTTTTTAAACCAACCAAACTGACCCAATAAATCCCACTCGAAAGTAGGATCTAGGGGAGGTGAGATGTATGCAGACCTATCCTCTACCCCAAAGAGTAGAGCGGCTGTTAAAGTCCCATCTTTTATATCATGTTCCTACTTTTCCTGTTCTCCAATTTGTATGTCCCATCTTTGTTTGCAAGTAAATTGGGCCCACTATCACATCATCATTCTTCACAAACCATAAAATGGGACCAAGAAAATGAAAAGGCTAAACAGACAAAACACATAAAGACTTAATCTTTTGGTATCCACATGAAGCCAGATGTAGAACTTATTAAATTATTGAACTTTTCACAAATATATGTATATATGTGTGTAGGGTTGGGTTCACGTGAGACCAGGCTGTTTTCGTGAGACCCGTGAAACCACATTTTTACACTTGAAACTTTACAGCAAAAACACTGTGAAGGTTTAAAAAAGTCGAACCTTCACAGCAGAAACACTGTGAAGGTTACCTTCACAGCATTTTGCTGTGAAGTTTCAAGTGTAAAAAGCTGGTCTCACGGGTCTCACAAAAACAGGCTGGTCTCACATGATCCCAAGTCTATGTGTGTATGTATATATATATATATATATACCAATTTTGAAGGTAAAATAGTTTAAATGACTTGAAATATCAAAGACAACTAGTATAGAACGAAGGGAGTATTGCATACAGAAAAGTGAACCTGAAACGAAGCTTTCTCTCCCATGTTATCCCAAGATTCCTTTTTGTTGGTGTATGGATGTTCCCATGCAAGCATGGTTACAAATATTAGTCTTTGGAATGCTGGCTCCTATCATAAGAATAAAGTCAAATACAACAAAGTCCATGGGAAATGAAACAGCTTGATTGACTGTTAGAACTAGTCAACATTGTTTTCTGATACCATGCTACTTTAAAAAGAATTTTCCCTTTGTTTCAATGTAAGTACTATCTTTGTTATAGAAACTAAAAGAGGTACATATTGTTATCTCAAGTCAGACATTTGACTTTTGAAATCAAAAATTGATATGGCTTATGTAGCATTCTGAATTATTTACACTTGACGTGTTTTCTTGAAGCAACAGAAATAACCTTTCTAGCTTGAGTTATGAACAGAAGAAACATTAAATCACACAGTAAATTGTACCCACAAACCTTAAGGCAAGGATGCATTTCAGAACTATCTCTGGACAAGAACCTAAAGCAGCAATATTCGACCAAATTACGAGCATCATTGGACACGTATTCAGGAACGAGTGCTTTAAAGACTTTCTGTATTTTCTTCCCCGTTAATCCGTTCATCCTGCATAGCTTAAACTCCAAACAATTAGAAATATTTCATTACTTTCATTCTCCGTTCTCCATCCAATCTCAGTTTTAAGTAAATGGGACTTGTGATCACATCTTCGTTTCTCGATCCATCGAAAATGCTGAAACTGAATGAAATCATGAATAGCATCTTAGAAACTTATGCTCACCTGCTAAACTGCTCAATGGAAACAATAGCAGCCAAAGAAAGATTTCCACTAGGTGTTCTGCTATCAATAGTCTGCTCTGCCATGAAGAACTCGTCCATGTCACTGTTCTCGTATGCATCTCCCGTTTTTGTATGGTTTTTATCTTGAACATTCTTGACAAGTGGAGAAGTCACTTCACCCAAAAAGTTTGTTGTTTTCGATACCCACATGTTTAAGGCATCTTGGACCGAACCTTTTACAACATATTGTAAAAACATGACTTAGTCGATCATATTATAAAAGAAAGAACATATTTGAAAGGATGATGGAGCAAACATAAACCAAACCAGACAAAACACACCCGGTATTCCCACTCGAAAGTAGGGGGAATGAGATAAATGTTAGAAAATAGGATTGTAGAAGGAGAATAAGTGCAGTAAGTCAAATGATTAGGACGTGAGAATCACTGTCCTTAGGATATTAATATCCCCCACTAGCAAGGTTGTTTGGGTTATAGGCTATGATATCCCCAGGATTCCCTATTCATATAAGATATATTCAAAAAACAGAATATATCTTCCATGAACATATGCAGAATTATTATTGAAGAGAATAAGAGGATTAAGAGAGATAAAATGATGAAATGATCACACATATAAATAGGTTTCGTGTTAACAACTGATTGTGGATAAGAAGTAACCAACATTTGGCTTTATCCAAATCAGAAAATCATGAACGAACTGTCAAAAAGGGTCAGGAAAAAAGTAGTCCAGAGGATACCGTGAGTTAAACTCACGTGGAAACTAGCATGAGACACTGTTTCCAAACATAAAAATCTGATTTTTGGAATCCACATACGCGCAAGTAGCGCTATCTTTTGACCATTTAATATATGTGTAAAATTCACACAAGGACGAACCATCCTTAGCTAACTTGATCTCGTAAACAACTCTACAAGTTGTTTGAAGATTATAAACTAAGAATTTATCACTCTACCAATGTGGGACAAGTGATATGCATCAACTCACATATATATACAGCTATCAATACAAGTAAGATTCTGCTGATTTTCCTATGTGGGACAAAATCTCACAATGAATCTCACTATGAAGAGTATATACAACACGCAGACCTATTCTCTATCCCAAAGAGTAAAGCGGTTGTTTGTGCATTGCGAAAAAGTGTTTTAAAAAGATATCGGTGAAAAACCGAGTGCTTCATAAAGATTTCGCAAAGCATCAATTTTATATTATATCATGTCATACTTGTAATCATAGAAGCACCATTTTTGGGATGCCAACTCAAATGGGACCCTACAGACTCGCCGATCAGTTTGGGATTGAAGATCCCATCGAGATGTTATGAGATTTGTCATTCATCTACAATTAGGACCAATCTAGAGTAAGGATTCTAGTAGGATTACATTAATATTGGACTCTATAAATACTCCATTTGCTTTAGAGTTAGGAACATCAATTTTTCATCTTTGTTTTTTATTTTGTATTGTTTTCTCCATAAAATGAAATATCGTTTTGCCACTGTCCATGGACATAATCCTATAGAGTGAACCACATAAATCTCTGAGTTCCACATGTGTGGGATCGAGTCATTGGTTATCCGAAATCATAACCATTTGAATCTCACATTCAGCTGATCTTCTATGCTAGTGTCGGCTAAATTAGTCTCTGATGGTTTTACAAGAGACATTTGTAAAAATATAAGGGATTTCTGGTCTATTCATTGCTTGATAATTTTTGAAGCATTCTAAGGGGTATGTATACAAATTTTAGTCAATTATCACATTTTCTTGGCGATGGTTTATTCTATGTCTGTATGACGAGGCAATGCCTTTATAGTCTCACTTTTTCTGAAGCCAGGAATCTTCACGAAAACAGTCTCTCTACTCTTTGGAGTAGAGGAAAGGCTGCGTACATCTTACCCTTCCCAGACCCCCTCCATGTGGGATTTACTGGGTTCGTTTGGTCTTTGGTTTTGTATGACCGGACGATCAAAAACACCTAAGGTCTAACGACAAAGATTAAACATGTAAAGAAACATAAGCATCATCATACAACCTAGTTGACCACCTGTCTTGAACCCAACATACGAGACTCCCTCATCAATTAGACAATATTGACAAATTCCTTATTCATTTACAGTTGTGATTTATATGTTTGAGATAGAATATTTGTATGATTACATATACTGGAATCTATTACGCCCCATTTGCTTTAGATGTGGGGAAATCAGTTTTCTGTATGCATTCTCTATTTCATATTGTTTTCTCCATATACTGAAATCACATTTGTGCTGCCCATGGAAGCATGGATGAAATCCTATTACGAACCCTATGAGTCTTTGATTGATGTGTGTGTGTGTGCACGCGCGATTGATTCATCTTCTCTTGGGTAATCCACAACAACCACTATAAGCATTCAAGCATGGTGTCTTTCTAATTATTCACTAATCGTAAGTTCTAGCAAATAAACATAAGGAACATGAGATCATAATATTGCTGGGATTATACAGCCTAATCAACTGCACCAAATTGTCAATGCAGAACAACATTCAAAATAGTTGTTGCCAAACATGTCTATAGGATGCAGCTAAAACGGAAACTTACATCTTTGCACACTCTGTTGGTGATTTTAGTCTCATCGAGCATTTTGGTGTAGTGATTTACAAGAGATCGATGGGGTTTATTAGTTAAGCTATAATATGAGTTAGGACTTAGGAGGTGCGAAGTGCACACTCATATAAGCTACCTTTGATCTAACATCACTAAAAAGCAGGGTTCAAGGGGGCAGCACCCCTTGCGGTGGTCCTAGAAGACCAAGTCGACTTAATGCGATGTCGTAGCTCAGAAGGCATGCCTTCAGAAGGTGAGTGTTTACATAGCATCTGGTCATCAACTTCTGAAGTGAATCTAGTTGTCTTCTCAACTTTTCTGGTGCAACTGATTTGATCTTATGCGTTAGTAGTTTTTTTGGTAATTGTTTTTATCTCCAAATAACTACCTATCAGCCTAAACTAATTGTCCATTAACTTCCCATATAAAAAAGGGAATGCGATCAATATTTGGATATACAAAAACACGACAGGATCTGTGTGTTTGCTCTCGATTTTGCTTAAAATCTAGAGTACAAAAATTTGAAGTATCCCTAAGTAAATTCTGTGAATACCCCAAGGCTGAAATATGGTCAAAATATTACTTAAGGAAAGTGATCAAGATCCAAGTCTTTCATCGATATCTAATCCCTAAGCCCAGATTTCTAACATATCTTTGTCAGAGTAAGAGTCTTCAGTTCAATATTTCTTGAATATAACCTTGAATGAAATGGTTAGCCAGGATGAGTTATCATTTCCTGTTTTTGCAGGTTAGAGGGGCTGGCTTCTATAAGGTTAAGAACTCAAGGATTGTACCCAAACTCTTGTAACATTCTTGTTGGCATATTCGAGATTTAGCTCATGGAATAAAAGAATTCAAATAAAGCTGATTTGGTCAAGTCAAGTGAGGCTCTGTGCACGTGATAAACCGAGTCGTATGCTATTTCCATTTATTTAGTAGTTTCCTTATATCTAGCAGTAAAATTAGCTTGTTTCTGTTTCAATTTCTTTGTATTTAAAGCCATTCTGGCATCGTTCAATATCATCAAGAATTTGTGAGCATTACCTGAGTTTACTTTAACATTGTGGTATCAGAGCGAATTTCGATCACAAAGGAGTGAAAATGAGTGACGATAAGTTGAAGGTGCTGGTGTTCGATGGCCACTACGAACACTGGAGTGAGATGATGGAAAATTTGCTGCGTGCAAAACAAATGTGGCATCTAATTGATCCAGGCATTAGGGAACCTACTATGGGGGTTGCCCAAAGCGAAGCAGAGAAGAAGAAATTAGAAGAGCTTCGAATGAAAGACCTGCAAGTCAAACACTATCTATATCAAGCAATTGATAGAGTTACGTTTGAGCAGATCTTGGATCGAAAAACATCGAAGGCAGTGTGGGATTCGATGCAAAAGCGATTTGCAGGAAATGAAAGGGTGAAGAAATCGATGCTGCAGAAGCTTCGAAGAGATTTCGAGGTATTAGAGATGAAAACAAGTGAAACCGTTCCGGAATATTTCGGTAGGGTGCTATCGATTTCCAATCAGATGAGGAGTAACGGAGAGGTGATGACAGACGTCAAAATTGTTGAGAAAATCCTTCGCACTTTGACCGAAAAGTATATGTATGTAGTTGTATCGATTGAAAAATCTAAGAATATTGATCAAATGTCCATAGAAGAGCTGCAAAGCACACTAATAGTTCATGAGCAAAAGTTCAAGAAGAACGAACGAGAAGAGGAACAAGCTTTGAAGGTGGATGCAGGTGACAGTTCCAATGGCAGAGGACGAGGTAGAGGACGATACAATTACAGGGGAAGAGGTCGTGGTAGAGGAAGACAGTCGTCTTTCAACAAAGAAACGATTGAATGTTACAATTGTCACAAATTAGGGCATTATTCTTACGAATGTCCTAATGCAAAAGAAGCAAATTATGCTGCCTTTGATGAGAATGAGGAAATTATGCTCATGGTTGATGGAGGAATAGAAAAGAATGGTTTTATACTCAGACAAAGAAAGAAAGCAAGGGGCAGTTGTGGTTTTTGGATTCCGGCTGTTCTAATCATATGTGCAGCGACAAAGAGAGGTTTGTGGAACTGGATCAAAACTTCTCCAACACTGTCAAACTCGGAAACAACACACGCATGACAGTAGAAGGAAAGGGAAACATAAAGCTAATTCTAAATGAAACAACCTATGTGATCAGAGACGTATACTTTGTACCAGAACTCAAGAACAGCCTTCTAAGCATCGGACAACTCCAGCAGAAAGGTCTGTCCTTTTTATTCCAATCCAATATTTGCAAAGTGTTTCATCCAGACAAAGGATTGGTATTTCAATCCAGCATGAGTACCAATCGGATGTATCCACTTAGTGAAGATGCTAGCGAGACCACAGAGCCAAAAACAGTTGAATGCATGTATTCAAGTGATGATGACATTGCAACATTATGGCATGAAAGGTTGGGACATATTAGCAAGACCAGCATGAAAACCCTGCAGCGTAAACAAATGGTACGTGATCTACCTGAGTTTATTAYTGATGAGTCTGTGTGTGAAGACTGTATGATAGGAAAGCAAACTAAGGAAGTCATACCAAAGACCAGCTCATGGCGTGCAGAAGAAATTTTGGAGTTAATACACTCTGACATATATGGACCAATAACCCCAAGTTCACATACTGGCAAGAAGTACTTTGTTGAGCTTTATTGATGACTATAGTAGAAAGGGGTGGGTCTATTTATTGATTGAAAAGTCACAAGCTTTTGAAAGCTTCAAGGAGTTCAAAAGTAAGGTAGAAAAGGAAACAGGAAAGGTGATCAAAGCTCTAAGAACGGACAGGGGAGGAGAATATCTCTCTAATGATTTCATCAAGTTTTGCAGGTAACATGGAATTAAAAGGCAATTAACCACAAGTTTCTCCCCACAGCAAAATGGAGTCGCAGAAAGGAAGAATAGAACTGTTATAAACATGGTGGTCACGCTGTTATCTGCAAAGAACATGCCTAAGATATTTTGGGCCGAAGCAATAACCTGGAGCTTCTATGTGTTAAACAGAAGCACAACCAAGGCACTTCCAGATGTAACCCCACAAGAAGCCTTGAGTGGGTTGAAACCTACAGTCAACCATTTTCGAATGTGGGGGTGTTTGTCCCATGTACATGTGCCCAAGCAAAAAAGAACCAAATTAGACAACAAAAGTTTTGTTTGTGTTTTGACAGGTGTAAGCGAGGAGTCAAAGGCCTACAGATTAATCAATCCAGAAACCATGAAGGTCATAATCCGCAAAGATGTGGTGTTTGAAGAGCACAAAGGATGGGATTGGAATCAAACAAAAGAAATGCAGACCACTAAAGAAGAAATATCATGGGGAAATTATGACTTTATCGATGAGAGTGGTGCAGAGATTCACGAGCTCGTGGAGCCTAATCAGCCAGCAAGTGCCACGGGTCCGGAGTTTCCAACAGATATTCCTGGTCCTAGTACTACACAATCAAGGGAGGGAAGACAACGTAAAATTCCAAGTTACCTTCGAGACTATGTCACCGGTGACGAGTTTGACTCAGATGAAGAGGAAGTGCATATTGTAGACATATCCCATGACGATCCAGTTCACTTTGAAGATGTTGTCAAAGAAGAAAAGTGGAAGACTACAATGGATCGAGAAATTGAAATGATTGAGAAGAATCAAACTTGGTGTCTAGTTGATCTGCCAGAAGATGCTAAGTGTATTGGCGTAAAGTGGGTATACAAAACCAAATTAAACGAAAGGGGCGAAGTTGAAAAGCACAAAGCGAGGTTGGTGGCTAGGGGGTACGGTCAAGAATTTGGAGTAGATTACATGGAAGTGTATGCTCCGGTTGCAAGAATGGATACGATTCGGCTGATGCTAGCTTTGGCGGCACAAAGAGGATGGATCATCTACGGAATGGATGTGAAATCCGCATTTCTCCATGGAACCCTGCAAGAAGATGTGTATGTCCAGCAGCCACAGGGCTACACTGTCAAAAACAATGAACACAAGGTGTATAAGCTGCAAAAGGCTTTGTACGGGCTCAAGCAAGCGCCCAGGGCCTGGTATAGTCGGATTGAAGCCCATTTCATTAATAAAGGCTTTACAAGGAGCATATCAGAACATACTTTGTTTATAAAGAGGCAAGGAGAAAAACTGCTCTTTGTAAACATATATGTAGATGACTTGTTATTTACAGGAAATGATGAGAAGATGATGGAAGAATTCAAGGCAACCATGAAAGCTGAATTTGAGATGACTGATTTGGGAARAATGAGGTMTTTCCTGGGAATTGAGGTAATGCAAGACTCATCAGGCATTCATATTTGCCAAAGAAAATATGCAATTGATATACTTAGTCGTTTCAAGATGATGGACTGCAATGCAGTGGTCAATCCTATGGTCCCTGGATGGATGCAGATTGGGAGATGAGAGTGGTAAACCAGTTGATGAAACTCTATTCAAACAACTGGTTGGTAGTCTGATGTATATCACCACTACACGACCTAACATACAATTCGCGGTGAGCTTCATAAGTCGATTCATGGCAAAACCCACAGAAGCACACTTTGCAGCTGCTAAAAGAGTGTTGAGGTATATTCAAGGAACTTTGGATTATGGAATTTGGTATAAACGGGGAGGTAAAGGGAAGATGGAAGTATACACTGATAGTGACTTTGCTGGAGATGTCACTGATAGGAAAAGCACTTCTGGTTACTTAGTATTGTGGGATGGAGCTGCAGTTTCGTGGTCATCAAAGAAGCAAAGTATAGTTGCCCTGTCATCTACAGAAGCAGAGTATCTAGCAGCTGCTTCATGTGCTTGCCAAGTGATTTGGGTACGGGAAATTCTGGAAGAACTTGGTGAGCGACAAGTCGGAGGAAGCATAATAAAGTGTGATAATACTTCAGTAATTCAACTGTCAAGAAATCCTGTTTTTCATGGCAGTTGTAAACACATTGGGGTGAGATATCATTTCTTAAGAGGTCTGGTCAGCAAAGGAACGATTACTATGGAATATGTTGAAACAAGAAACCAAGTGGCGGACATCTTCACTAAGCCTCTGCATCGTGATGTTTTTCAAGGGCTTAGAGAAAGGCTTGGAGTGTGTTCTCTTAAAGGCAAACAAGACATGAACCATGGTCATGTTTGAGGGAGGGTTTTGTTGGCATATTCGAGATTTAGCTCATGGAATAAAAGAATTCAAATAAAGCTGATTTGGTCAAGTCAAGTGAGGCTCTGTGCACGTGATAAACTGAGTCTATGCTATTTCCATTTATTTAGTAGTTTCCTTATTCTAGCAGTAAAATTAGCTTGTTTCTGTTTCAATTTCTTTGTATTTAAAGCCATTCTGGCATCGTTCAATATCATCAAGAATTCGTAAGCATTACCTGAGTTTACTTTAACAATTCTGAAGCAACTGAGCTTAAAGAATCATCATCAGATAAAACCATAAGGAACACATTTTCTCCCTGGAATCTCCAAGGTTCCATTTGTTCATACCAATCCATAGTTTCTCCACATTTTTCCAAACATTTGGGACCCACAAAGAAGTGAAACCTAATTGAACTCAAAGTTTTGTACTCAAAAAACACACCTAATTAGCATCATCAGGATCTTCCCCAAGAAATCTTGGAGTCCTAAAGGTTCTTTCAAGCCATTCTGATCAAGATCACTTATTTCAACAAACCCACAAGAATAATCTTCATAACAGATAAAGTAGGCCAAGAAAAAAGAACCCACCAACAGAACCAGAGTTTTTCAACAAAAGGCTAAAATCCAAATGAAGAGTAAAGTAAATACTCAAAAAGAAAGCATACTCACTGCCATCAAAGTAATTTAGCCTCCATTTAATATCACCAACAGATTGGCCCAGAAGCTTGAACCCATTTTTGTTCTCTGAAGAAGAAGAATTGTTGGCACAGGAAACAATCTTACAGAAAGCTTGGTGCTGGTGTTTGGGGATTAAAGAAAAGGGTAGAGGTGATTTTGGGAAATTTGATTGCATATTTGTTTATTTTCCTTACTAGAAAAAGGAAGTTTAATATTCAAGATTCATTTAAAGAAGATTTTGCTTCAATAATGATTTGTTTATGCAGAAGAAGAAAATTTGATTTGGAAGACAAGTGGGGTGTTTGTTTTCCCTTAAAGATGGTGACTTTGCTCAGACGATGGCCGGTGGGTATTATTGATCCATTCATTCCATTCATTTGTCCCCATTATCAATCGGGTCGGGTATGCATTTGGGTATTTTCGTGAGGAAAATGTTCAGACTTCTGAAAGGATTTTTCAGCCTTATCCGTTAATTCAATTGAACACGTTTTGCTAGAAAAAGGACTACAACTTCAATTTGCTTAGAGGTGTTTAGGATTGTTTATCTTATAAAAACTATTTATTAATGATACCACACTGAAATAAGTTAATAAGTTAAAAGCAAATAATTCATTAAAAATTTTTTATTACTAGTGTCAAACCGGTATAAACATTTCCTTTTTTTTCTCCATCCAAACACTAAAAACTCTTTATTACGAACATCACACCAAAATAAGTTAATAAGCAATCTCAAACACCCCCTTTAATTTATTTTTCAAGATCTTTCAAACAACCATCTCTAATGGAAAAAAAACCGAAAGATTTAGTTTATGTGGTTGATGCCGCAGAATTTCAAAAAGAGAAAGAAACAGTGATTAGAGTTTGGATAACATTGTGAAATTGTGTAATAGGTTGTTTTAGTTAATTTATATATCGACCTAATCTGTTTGGATATCATGAAACCTAATCGTTTCTTTTTAAACTTAAAGAATTGTAATTTATGAATGTGAAAACAAATCCTCACTAAATGGATATGATTGTTGGAGTGATTAGTATACTGTTAATTGCATGGTAGTTACAAATTGCTTATACAAATTAGAATGCAACTCAAAAGTACTTCCGACTCAAAAACCCCTCGGTCAAAAGCGCTTCAAAACCAAATGTTTTTGAACAAAACTCAGAGGCTTTTGAATTACACTTTTAGAGGTCATTTGGTTCACGAAATTCGAAGGAATTTGATGAAATTGGAATGATAAATTTACTTGACCAAATTTCAATTCATTTGTTTGGTTCATTCTTGAAATTGATGGAATACTTCGAATTCTATTGAATTCAACAAATTAATGAATTTATCATTCATTGGCATAATGGAAGGAATTGAATTCCATCACCACCCACCACGACCATGCTACTACTGTTCGTCATGTCCACCCATAACCCCTCACCACTACCACACCACTAGTATCGCTGCCACCCACTCTACCCACTACCAACCACCATAACACTATTCTTTTTATCACATCCACCA